CGAGCAGCTTCTCCACGTGTTTGAGGGACATCATCTGCAGCACGACGGCGGCGCGCCCGAAGGAGTCGTCGCGGGTGATGTAGACGACCCGCTGCGAGTACTCGGGGATGGTCGTGGCGATGATGACGTCACACAGCCGGTGCTTGAGGACGACATCCTGCCCTCGCTTGACCTCGCACCGCCCGTCAGCCACCTCGACCGACACCTCCTGCAGGGCGTAGAACCCGTCCACCACGCCGATGAACCTCTCCCGCTCCTCCAGAAACTCGTCCTGGTTCTCCTTCTTCGAGGCCGTCTCGTCGTGGAGGACGGCCGCGTGGGAGACGACGGCGACGTGCGTCCGCATCTCCTGGGGGAGGCGCCGAAGGGGGAGCTTCACCTCGGCCACCCCCAGCAACACCCCAGTCACGCTACACATGGCTGAGGAGAGGGAGGGGGTTAAGTCGATGCAAATGTGCGTTGAATGAGTCCGTGGGATTTGGGGCCGAAGTGCTTGCAAATGCTTACTCAAGGGTATTGGTGTTATAAGTCGTGTCCCGAAACTTGGAAATACTCACACGGAAATATTTTGCGACTCTGACCATCTTTCGTAAGATTCTCCAAAGGATACAGTATTGCAATAATTAGAAATTAATATTTTTTTGATTACGAGAACGTAAAATGAACGTAGTGCAAGATTCTCCAAATAAAACAGTATTACAATAATCATAAAATATTACTTTGTGACTGAGCATCTTACGTAAAATAAAAACAGTTCAAGATTCTCCAAATAAAACAGTATTACAATAACTATAGAATAATATTTTGTGACTGAGAATCTTACGTAAAATACTGAAAAAAATCTCCAAACGAAACAGTATTACAGCAATTTAGAAATTACAACACTGCAATTACAACAAAACCACAATAACCTAATCATACCCTTTTTATTCATCAATTTCCCCAAAAAAAAACAATTATATTAATAAATCAAACTCATCCACGCTCGAAAACCTCCTTATGTTCAATATTTCTGTCCCTTTTTCCCCCCAAATGACAACCTTTGCTCCGAGAATCGAGAAGGAAAACTATGAAGAAAATTGTCTCAAGGCAGAACAATGGACGAGAATCCGTATCTTGTGAAAGGCCTCCATTAAATAATTTTAGTCACCTACTGGTAATTTATCTTCCTAGGGACTTTAAATGAGGCTCATTTATCATGTGGAAAATCTAGTGAAAGTTAGAGCTGTAGGAAAATATACTGTTATATAAAAGAACTTACACGTATAAACATATACTCTTATGTGTTATGTATATGCTCGGTGCACTTGTATCGCATACTCATTCTGTACACATGCTTATTCGTTGCAGATTCACATGTGCACATATATACACACACAGGCACAAATACGATCTCTCTCTCTCTCCTCTCTTTTTCTCTTTCTCTCCCTCCCCCCCCTCTCTCTCTCTCTCTTTCTCCCAATCCGTCTACCTGTCTATCTATCTATCAATCTATATCACTCACTCAATCATTCACTCGCTCACTCACTCATTAACTCTCTCTCTCTCTCTCTCTCTCTCTCTCTCTCTCTCTCGCTCGCTTGCTCGCTCTCTCTCTCTCACACACACATACACACGCACACACACAGACACATACATACAGACACAGACACACACATACACAAACACAACACTCACGCCACACACACATACACACAGACACACACACATACACAAATACAAACACACACACACACACACATACATACAGACACACACACACACATACACAAACACAACACGCACGCACACATATACTTACAGACACACACACATACTCAAACACAACACGCACACACACGCACACATACATACAGACACACACACACACATACATACACAAACACAACACGCACACACATACACACACACACAACCACGCACACACATACACACACCACACCACACACCCTACCTATCCCCCGCGCATACGCAGTCACGAACGGCTTATGTGTCCCCACCATCTCCTTCTCTCCTCTTCCTCTCTTCCTCTCCTTCTTCATCTCCCTTTCCTTCTATTTTTTCCTTTCCCTCTTTTTTTTTTTTCATTCATTAAGTCATTCTTCACTTTTTTCTACTTCGTTCTTCTTCTCCATCTCTATCTCCTCCTCCTTTTCCTAATTAATTTCTATATTTTCTCCTTTTCTTCTTCACTCCTCCTCCTCTTCTTCTTCTCCTCCTCCTCCTCCTCCACCTTCTTCGTCTTCTCCTCCTGCACCTCCTTCGTTCTCTCTCACCTCCTCCTCTTTCTCCCCGCCCACGACCTCCCTCACCCATACCCTCTCCCCCATCACCACCGCCCATACCCCCACCCATACCCTCTCCCCTTCACCCCGCCCATACCCCCTCCCCCTTCACCCCTCTCCCCGCCCATATACCCTCCCCTCCGCCCATACCCTCCCTCTCCCCCTTCACCCCCGCCTACGCCCCCCCCCAACCCCACCTCCACCCCCCCCTACCCACGCCCAGGTTATGACAAGCCGTAGCGTGCGGGCGTGGGATTAGCAGGATCAAGCGTGGGCGTCATGCTATACCTGCGACGTCGGTTCTTAGCGGTGTTGTTTGGGGGTGAGGGTGGGGGGGGTGAGGGGGGAGGGGGAGGAGGAAGGAGGGGGAGGGGGAGGGGGGGGAAGGGGGGGAAAGGGGAGGTTGTGGGGGAGGAGGAAGGTAGGGGGGGGGAAGGTGGGGGGAAAGAAGGTAGGGGGGGGAAGGTAGGGGGAGGGGGAAGGTTGGGGGGAGGAAGGAGGAGCGAGGAGGAGAGGAGGTGGGAGATGATGATGAGGAGGAGGAGGAAAAAAGGAAGGAAGAGGAAGAAAGAGAAGAAGGAGATCACATAAGAAAGAGGAAAAATATGAACTGTAGGATACTGAATAAAGAAGAGGAAAAACGTGATAAAAAGGAAATCTGAGAAAGGAGGAGGAAGTGGAGAGAGATGAATCAGGGAAGAGAATGTAGCTGATATAATAAAGAGAGGAAGGGGGGACTATAGAGAAGGAAATGAGAAAAGAAAGATGCAAAGGAAAAAAAATGAAAGAGAAAGAACAGGAAAGAGGAAAGAGGCGATAAAGAAGGAGGAGAAGAGGGAGAAATAAAGAAGAATAAAATGACCTTGGGAGGGAGAAAAAAGCAAAGAAGGGAGAAGGGATAATGAATAAAAGGAGGAGGAAGGAAAGACGTGATAAAGCAATGGTGAAAGAGGGAAGGCATGATAATGATAAATAGTGGATAGAAGAGGAAGACGAGGAAATTAGACGTGAAGAAATGAGAGAGAGTTAGAAGAATAAAAATGGATGAGATGAGAGAGAAACAAAAGGGGAGAGACAGAAAACAATAAAGGAAGAAGGGGAAGGAGGGCGATAAATATAAGAGACAAAAAAGGGAAGAGAGAGATGAAAAAGAAAGGATGGAGAAAGATAAGATAGAAAGAGAAAGGGAGAAGAGGACGATAGAGATAGAGTAGAGAGAGAAAGGATAGAGAAAGAAAGAGAAAGGTAGAAGAAGACGACAGAGAAAGAATAGAGAGAGAAGGAACGCTAGAAAAAGATAGAGAAAGATATAAAAAAAAGGGATAAGGGGACGATAGAGAAAATAGAGGGAGAAATAACGCCAGAGAAAGGATAGAGAAAGATAAGAAAGAGAGAGAAAGGGAGAAGAGGACGATACAGATAGAGTAGAGAGAGAAAGAACGACAGAGAAAGGATAGAGAGAGATAAGAAAGAGAGAGAAAGGGAGAAGAGGACGATAGAGATGGAGTAGAGAGAGAAAGAACGACAGAGAAAGGATAGAGAGATAAGAAAGAGAGAGAAAGGGAGAAGAGGACGATAGAGATGGAGTAGAGAGAGAAAGAACGACAGAGAAAGGATAGAGAGAGATAAGAAAGAGAGAGAAAGGGAGAAGAGGACGATAGAGATGGAGTAGAGAGAAAGAACGACAGAGAAAGGATAGAGAGAGATAAGAAAGAGAGAGAAAGGGAGAAGAGGACGATAGAGATGGAGTAGAGAGAGAAAGAACGACAGAGAAAGGATAGAGAGAGATAAGAAAAAAAGAGAAAGTAGAGATCGACAGAGAAAGGATAGAGAGAGATAAGAAAAAAAGAGAAAGTAGGGAGGGACTGCATATCGTTATCATCTACGGAAAGCGACTTCCTGTTGCTTCAGGTTTCTCTTCGCAAATCACCGCTAATATTTGCACAGTTGAAATTGCAAACGAAAAGAAATGCACACGACGTATATCTCTAACGCATTCTCTTCTTCTCAATTCTGTTTACTGTAAATCACGATACATATATATTCAGCGCTCGTGACTTGCAAGGTCAAAGAGTAAAGCCGTTAGGGTTGAATCGGCCATAAAAAAAAAAAAAAAAAAAAAAACTATGGTGTTACTTTCAAGGTTGATTTACACCTGTCACGACCTTGCGTTGGGCTTGACCTATTTCCCCGTCCTTGGGAAAAATATCTCTGACCTTGTAAACAAACGCGCATCTATCTCTCCTCCAGCACCACAGCACATGCCACACGAGGGTAATAACGATGCATAGCAATAACGTGCATCAAGGCCTCTCTAACCACTAGCTTCTTCGGTGATTTATGAACTTACCTTCAATTTTGAGGTCATTTGGTGGAACGAGACGATACACCCAATTGAAAATTTTTTTTAAAGATCGCGAAATGGAACGCAGACAGGGAAACAAAACACACACACGCCCACGAGAGCGAGAGAGGGAGTACGAGAACACAACACACCCGCCCTTACACTCGGCTCTGGGACACTCACATGAGCCACGGGGATGCACGGCGCCGCACTCTCTCTTTCTACACATTCCCGTCACCACGCCGCTTCAGACTTCGTACCTCCTCTGCGCTTCCCAGTCTTCTTTTTCTCTTTTATTTACTCCTTCTGAAAGACACTTCGTTTCCTCCTATTTCGTATGTCGTTCATTTTTCCCTTCCTCTTTTTTTTCTCTTTGGGGGAGTGAGAAGATTAGCCGAATCACTCGAAAATGCGTTAGAACTCTGAGTTTGCCAATCACTCCGTCGTCTTTGGCTTCATCTCACCGCTAACTATTCTTCATCAACACTGTATCTGTCTTTGCGCTCTTTACACAAACGGCGGGACCACACGCCCACGCCGCGCACAAACGGACGCACTGATATTCTCGCTCCGTGAACCGTTGCCATTCAGACGTACGTACAAAGTTGCACAGACATTTCTCGCTTCTCTTTCTCTCTCTCTCTCCCTTGTCTGTCTATCTCTTGTTCTCTCTTTCTCTCTGTCTGTCTCTTGTCTTTCTCTCTGTATTTTTTTCTGATTTTTTGTTTTTTTCTTCTAGTCGGCACTTGCTTCTCTCTTTGTCTGTTTATCTTTCTGTCTCTGTCTGTCTGTCTCTCTCTCTCCCACCCACCAAGCACGCCCAAACACACATACACACACACACACACACACACACACGTCCGAGCAGAAAAGAATGCGTGACGTCATCAATTTCACGTTAATTTCAACACGACGCTGACAAAACGGAAGTGAAAATTGCGTAATACTGATAAATGAAATTGCTTAATGAATGTAACTTGATATGTAGGTCATAATCTTTTCTTCTTTTCCTTCTTCTTTTGTCTAAATAAACTATTTTTAAATCTAGCTATCTATCTGTTTATTTATCTGCGCTTCTGTCTATATACCTATGCCTCTGTCTATCTTTCTAAGTGCGTCTTTCTGTCTGCCTATCTATCTACATCTGTCGACAGTGAACACAACATCAATAACAAAAACATAACATACAGAAAGGAGAGTTGACGTCGACATTAAAAAGACATCACCAAAATCCACCATTATTACTATCAATGAAAAGGTTTTAACCCCGCACCTGCTGTTAGTCTTCCGACGCGTTAAAATCACATCTCATAATAAGTACAAAAAAATGAAAAGATATATAAAAAAGCACCTGAATATCCTTAAACGCAATTCAAACTCAATTTCGAATACCTAGAAGGCACCAGAGAGCGACAACAGTTGATCATGACACCAAAATGATTAAAATTTGTGGAACTGATAAGATATAACCCCGCGGGACCCAAAGCTCTGTTAAAGGAAATGGCGCTATTCATGCTAACGATGAAGGCTATACAAACAGTATTATTTCCGAGAAACTAATATGGGTGATATTAATGATAATAACAAAATATCCAAAATTGTAGTATTGGGAAAACATTGGCGACAGAAAGATTGATAAGATAAAGTCAATAATGATGACACAGTAACACTCATAATTCAAAAAGAGAGCAAGAAAGACAACAATAAATTAATGTATGGTAATAATTGTGATAATATAACCAATAATGATAATAATAGTAATAATGATAATTATGTTAGTAATGATAACAACACCAATAATAATAATGATATTGTTATCATTATTATTATTATTATTACTATCATCATTGTTATTATTGTTGTTATCATTATCATTATTATTGATGATGGTGATAACATCAATGATAACAATGATAATGATAGATAATAATAGAATTGACAATAATGAAATAAATAATAATGATAATAACATTGATAATAGTAATAATAATAGTAATAATGATAATAATATCAATAATGATAATCCAATATCAATAATGATAATGGTAATAATAACAATAATAGTAATGATAATAATAACAATGATAAAAAGGATGAAAATAAAAATAATAATAATAATGATAAAAACTATGATGATAATGAGGATAATGATTACAATGATGGTGATGATAACCATGATAATTATGACAGTCATGATAATGATGGTGATGATGACGATGACAATGGTGACGGTGCTGATGGTGACGATGACAATGATAACGGTGATGATGACGATAATGATGATGGTTTTAGTGGTGACGATGACGATGACGATGGTGACGATAATTATGGTGATGACGATGATGGTGATGATGATAATGATGGTGATAATGAGAACGATGATGGTAATAATAATAATGATGATGGTAGTGATGATGATGCTTATTCTAGCGGATTTCTTGCTAAAATTCGATACAACTTGGACAACTAGACCACCAGGATTTCCCAACTTAGAAGCCATAGAATATTATCTTAGAAGCCAAGGAACGATATGAAAATTATGAATACGAATTAAACTGGTATTTTGCTTCACCAACAGTACCTTCCGAAAATTATCTCACGAATTAAACTGGTATTTTGTCTCACCAACAGTACCTTCCGAAAATCATCTAACACCTATCAATAAATTAAAATATTCCCATGCACTGTTCTTGTCCTAAAGCGATCAGCACCATAACACAAGCCATAACGGGTAATAACTGAATTTGAAATTGGGGACTGGCGCTGAACTGGGCCGTGGAGGTTATTTTATGCTGGTCGGGAGTCGCAGAATAAATGTTTTATTTCATTTTATTTTATTTATTTATTCATTTTCTTTAGATGGTGGTGATGATGGTGGAGGTGGTGATGAGGATGGTGGTGGTGATGATGGTGATGGCGGTGGTGGTGATGGTGGAGGTGGTGATGATGGAGGTGGTGATGATGGTGATAAGGATGGTGGAGTTGAAGGTGATATTGATAGTGGTGATGAGGATGGTGGTGGTGGAGGTGAAGGTGTTGATGATAGTGGTGATGGAGGTGATGATGATGGTGGTGGTGGTAATGGTAGTGGTGATGATTATGGTGATGGTAATGATGATGGTGGTGGTGATGATTATGGTGATGGTGCTGATGATTAGTCCCTTTTAATAAGTAAGTCCCTATTAATAAGTAAATTCATTATTAAGTCCCTTTTGATAAGTGAGTCCCTTAATGAGTCACTTTTAATAAGTCCATTTAATAAGCAAGTCCCTTAATAAGTCCATTTTATATGTAAGTCCCTAAATTAGCCCCTTTTAAAAAGTAAGTCCCTTAAAAAGTCCATTTAATAAGTAAGTCCCTTTGAATAAGAAAGTCCCTTAAATAAGTCCATTTAATAAGTAAGTCCCTTAATAAGTCTATTTAACAAGTCTCTTAAAAGGCTTTCAGGGACTTACGTCGATCGAGATGGGCGGCTTAAGGTGCTGTCACACTAGCACTTTTTCCGACAATTTTTTTGACATTTTTCTGAAATTTCGTCCATTTTTGAGCGAATTGTCGATTTTCCAGTCAGACGATAATGATCGTTTCCGTCTGAAAACCTTTCCGTCAACTTTTTCAGCCAAGCAAAGTCAAATCAAGAAGTATATTCGAGAATGTTTGTATTTATGTAAAATAAAATTGTCAAAAAAAAAAAAAAAAATAGCGGAAAAGTGCTAGTGTGACAGCACCTTTAGCCACGTCTCTATAATCAACAATTACGTCGACAACAATATGATGATTTACACAGGAGTGAATTTTTCATTGGATAACAAGGTCGCCAATCAGAGTATCGTTTTTGTTATTATCATGTGTGAAAATAAGTTTGTGTTCATTTTTGTTTGGAAGTTTATGTTGCTCATCTTTTTTTTTTTTTTTTTTTTTTTTTGTTCGAAAACATTGCAGCAAAATTTTGTTTCTAGGAAGATTAAGTATTCATCAAGTAGCATGTGATGATGATGATGATGATGGTAATAATAGTGTTATTAATGATAATGATAATGATAACGACAATGATAATAATGATAGTAGCAGTAATTATAGAAATATAAATAATAATGATAATGACAATAATGCTATTAATAACAATGATATAATAAGGATAATGGTAATAGAATAATGGCAATTATTATCATGAAAATAACAATAATTATGATAATGACAATATTGATAATGGTCATTATAATAATGATAACAATACTAACATTAATGCTGATAATAGCAATAACAATAATATTGATAATAATGGTGATAACGATGATAATAACAATAATAATAATGAAATAATGATAATAATGATGATAATTAAATAATAATGACAATAGTAATAACAATAACAATGGTAATAATAGTAATAATGATAATACTAATACTGATAATGATGATGATAATGATAATATTAATACTGATGATAATAATAATGATGATGATGATTATGATGATGATGATAATAATAATGATGATGATTATGATGATAATAATAATGATGATAATACTATTGATAATGAGAATCATAAAAATATTAATGATTATAATGATAATAATATCAAAATAATGATAATAATAATAATGATAAATAATTAAAAGTGATACAAGTGTTAATGCTGATAATAACCTCAATAATAATAATAAAAACAATCACACAATAATAGTAATAATAAAGATGATAGTAATAATAATGATAATGATAATAATAGTAATAATAATAATAATAGCAATAACGATAATGATTATAACAATAATGAAAACAATAACAATAATAACGATTATGATAATAACTAGGGGCCGGATTCTCAAAACAATCTTAAGTTGGGAGGCTAGAAATGTGCCCTTATGTAGGACTATACGAACTTGTCATCTAAAAATGTCGCGTGGTAATAAATGTGTTCAGGTTTAAACTTGAGGCGCACTGGAGGCCTTATTTGGAAGCCTTATTTTCCGTAAAAAAAAAAACGTAAAAAAAAAAAAAAACGGAGTAAAGAAGGGAAATGAAGAGTGGGAGAGGGAAGAGAGGGTAGATTTAAATAATTTTCCTGCGTCTTATCCCTGCCTTACATAGTTCAGCGTCGTAACCCACATACGACGTCGGATCTTCAGTGGCCAATCACAGCTGTCGTTTTAGGCGGCTCTTAGGGAGTCTTGACCAATCACAAGCCGTAAATGCCAATCAGCTGATTTTTGTAAACACAACGCTGACTCCAGCCCGTGTTATGATAAAACTTTTTAACTAATATGTTCCAGAATAAGTGACGCAGAAGAAATATGCAAGATTCCTTAAAACAAAGGAGTGCATTATTATCGGAATGCATGAATACCGTGAAATTAGAACAAAGCG